AACACATCTGGGCCTGTACACCAGGCCAACCCTTTGTGGCAGGGGAGACTATAGGCCCCAGTGGGAAGTTACTGCAATTGCTTTGTTAGATGGATATGATGCACCTGCTGAAATACTGTCTAAGCATTTGTGTTTACTGCCATAGATTTAAGTTATTATAGCAGCCACTATTTAGATGTTCTTGCTTTTTACTGTTTGTGTTTTTACAGTAGATGGAATCCCATTGAAATGGGCCAACAGCCCATGGAGATGATGCAGATAGCCAAAAGTTCAGTGCCTTGCCACAGTGGGAGGAAGACTGTCCCATACCTATCACCCCCCTCCAAGACTCAGGAACTTTTGCTGAAGAGGTTGGCAGAAGAATGTAAGAGCCAGAGGAAGGGGTGGAGTGTTAACTGGAAGTGTCCTCCAACCAATGTGTGGGCAAGCTATAGTCACATCTCTTTCCCATGCTAGTCAAGGAGTTGATGGGCAAGTCAGTTACCCCTTCCTCCAAATCGGGAGACCTTAGCTGCTTGTGGAGGAGGGACTAAGGATATATAAGCCAAGAATGCCATGAGGCACCTCTATCACAATTTGTGCGGCTGTTGGGAAGTCACAGGACCTATCTTAGAGTGTGGACTTTCCAAGGCAGATGTAAATGGGAGGAGACATTCTTCTGTAAAAAAAACAACGCCAACCCTATGCTCTGTTAACAAGTCCAATAAACTCTTTTGGATTTAAAAAAAGAAAACACAGCTAATGGAAATCTTCATTATTCCACCAAAGTTGACTCCATGTTGGCAAATCTTTTGGTCTTTCACTTCTTATTCCTATTTTCCTTCATTGTCTTTATATTTTTATGTAAACTTCTTCAAGCTATTTCTGGTCAAATGTGTTAAAAATTGCCTCTATTTGGGATAATAAAAAATAAAACTCAGAAAATAACACATTGCAGTTGTTTTTACTATCTCTGACTCTGGATTAGATATTTCCCTTCAGAGAAAACTGAAGATGGAAGAGAACAGACATATTAGAACGAACATGATCCCAGCAAATGCTAATTCCTCCAGGATTCAGAATTGCTCGATTCTACCATAATTTCCACCAGATACTTAACATTTATGTTAATTATTGTAGGATTTCTTAAACGATTGATCAGTTAAAATTAGAGTGGTGTAAATATGTTATTAATTGGAATTCATAACATGGCTTTTATTCCTGCATAAAAGTTCCCTTTAGTAGTTAGAAAGGAAGTAAGTAAAAAATAAATGTAATTTTTAATCACATACAGGTTGTATGGTTTATAAATCCTATGGAGAATTCAAAGAAACTTCTTAAAATTTACAAGTGATGCTTTTAAATAAGCTATGGTTTTGTTTGCAAATTAAAAGCAAGAATATACTTGAAAAATATAAATTCAAGGTATAGAAGAGTATTTAATTTGGTCATGTTTTCAATTAACTCAATGAATATTTATTAAGTATTTTGGTGCAGATGTAGTCATGTCCTAGAAATGATATTCAGTTCATTTGAATCTAGTGAGAATTTGGTCCTTTTCTCAAGCCTCCATTAAATAATAAGCAGTCTATCAATCCTAGAGTGATGAGTTGTTTTTCTAGAGTGGACAGTATGGACTGACACGTCACAGCAGGAATCATCCTGGTTTCTCAACAATGCTTTGGTTAGGCAGATTGTTCTACACGGATCAAACTTCATTACTGTACTCAAAGAAGGCTATGAGTAGTTTCCCTTCTTGTCCATTCCCCTTAGATGTAAGAAATAAAAATCTTTACATATTTGTGAATGTAAAGCAGTGTGTGGTGGGCTCTTTGTCTGACTCTTCTCTAGCAAATAGTAAAAACTGAGCCACTGGTGTTTTATCCACCCTGGGGAGCATGAAAACTGACTTAGAAGACATGATTCTCATGGGAATCCTACAAAGAATTCAGATGTAGGCAGAACAGACATATAAGCAGGAACCCACACATACATTCACATACACATGGACATATGAATGCCTGATTCCAGATATAATATTGGGAAAAAATCCATTATGTCTTATTCTCCTGAAGAGTTGACTTTCAAACAATAAAGGAAAAAACAGGTATCTATTTTTCTATTCAAAAAGGACAGGCTGTATAGAGAGTTAAATGATATATTTAAGTCAAAATTTTAACTATACTGATCTATGAACAATGTACGTATTTAGGAGGAAATTCTTCATAACTCCATACATTATACACTGTGTAATATTTAGTTCTGGACGTGTGTGTGTGTGTGTGTGTGCATGCACATGCACAGACATGTGTTATATACATATATGTTCCCAAACTGTATGCCAAATTTCATGCATTTATATATGGCGAAAAAAGTTAAAATAGTTTCATCTATACCTCAAATTATACAGTACACTTTTATTATACTTATTTACTCTATTATGAACCAGAAATTGAAACTCCTAACTGTAAATCATTGCTCACATTTCCTTAAAATTTTTAGTTATCATGCAAAATAAAAGGTCTCATGACATTTTCATACACCTGTCTCATTGTCCTTGGATCATATTTACTCCCTAATGTCCTCCATAAGCCTTTTGCTGATCACTTCTTCCCCACATACTTTGCCTTCTACTTTCTTGTTATGTGTACATATATACATACATACATATGTAAATACATATATTCCACATATAAGGCAAAATATCAACATTTGCTTTCCCCCTCATAACCCACTCATTCATCGTCCCCACTATAATTTATCCTTTCCACCCCTCATGTCCTCCCCCTTCTACAGTCATGTCTTTTGTAAATATATAAGCACACATATATATTTGACAGAACTGTTACAGGAGAGAAACCCTATGACACTATATTTCCAGTCGGGCTTATTTTCCGTGACTTACTGATCTGTTTCAGCAGCTCATCCTCCTGCCTACTCTCCTCTTACAGGCTCCAGGAACCTCCTTCAGCCCTCAGCTGCTCTGACAGCAATATTTTCAGATTTCACTTTGGACTGAGATCATGGGGTACAGGTCTATCTGCCTGGTTTATTTTTGTTACTAACATTACCTCAACAATGTGATCCAGCTGGTATTTTAACTTGGAAAATCACTGTTAAATGGAGTCTTTTTTTTTAAGGACCTAATAGACTGTTATAGAAGGTTCCACCCAAATGCTAAAGAATACACTTTCTTCTCAACAGCCCATGGAATGTTCTCCAAAGTTGACCAAGCATCAAGACAACACAGCAAGCCTCAATAATTATAGGAAAATTGACATGACATCCAAATTTCTGAGTATAATGGAATAAATCTAAATAAAACAGCAATAAAATCTACAGAAATTGCACAAAATTGAAAGTAAAAACACTAATGATTGGAAATTTAAAATTCATAGAAATGAATGAAAATGAAAATAGAACATACCATAATATCTGGGACACAAGGAAGACAGACCTGTTTGGGGGGAGATCAATTTTTTCTTCCTTTTTTTAATAAATTTTATGTGTATGAGCGTTATCCTTGCATGTATGTAAGTACACCCGTGTCATGCACGTGGAGGACAGAAGAGGCTGTCGGATCCCCTGGAACTGGAGTTATGGACAGTTGTTAGCTGCCATGTGGGTGCTGGGATTCAAACCTGGGTCTTCTGCAAGAACTGTCAGTGTTTTTAAGCACTGAGCCATCTCTCCAGCCCCAATTTTTTCAGGGATTTTGAGAGGCTGCACGTGATCCAGCAAATTGCGCTACACTTATGCACACACAGACAGCACGATGTGGATTCAGGGGATTTTTTAAAAGAACAGATGAATCTGGGGGAGTAATCAATGGTTGTGCTGTGGGGCATTGGGAAGAATTGCAAGAGAGGAAATGGCGTTTGGATTTTTCACAACACTATATACATGCATGAAATTCTCAATAAATACTAGTATCAAAGAGCCAAAAGAAGTCCATACAGGAAGTTTGATATTGCTGGGTTCATTTTTAATATATAGTATGTGCAAGTTTATAGTATTAAATAGAAATTTATAAATTTTGCCAAAAAAATTTCCAAATCAGTTAATTACTCTACATATTTTTAGTGTTAGAGGCAGGAAACGGACATGCGTTTTCTGAATATTTGTGCAGATTTTTTGGCATATGTTCTATTTTATCTTACAATAATTTATGGGATAAAAACATTCTGAAAAATAGAGACTATATTATCCTATATTGCCTAATGAATACACCAGTGGAGAAAATTCTAATTTTAGTTAGCATGAAAAACTGGCTGTGGGGAGATACGGATGGGTGGTATAAAGACGATGAAGATGTTCTGTATGAGGTGCACAAAAATCAATGGAAATATACATTTAAAAAGACCTGAAAAGATAGACTGTTATATTTGCAGTGAAGGTTCTTCTGCCTCTGAATTTCTTAAATTACATAGCAATATATAAAAACTTATGGTATAGTTTTTCCCCTTTTCTACCTATCCCCATAAAAAGTAATCTCTCAAAATGACTACAAATAACATGGTGATAAAACTATAAAGGTATTTTGTACTTACAAATTAAAATCAAGCACTGTTAAAATCACTCAGCAGATAAACGTGCTTTTCTGCCAAGCCTGAGATTGAACTGATCCCTGGTACCCACATAGTGGAAGAGGAGCACTGATGACCACAAGTTCTTCTCTGACCTTCACCCCTGAACCTTTGCACCTGGACACACATTCATGCACACAAGCACACATGGGCATACAGACACAAACATACACATGAACACCCACTAAATACATGCATAAAAATAAAATGTAAACTGAAGTACTTCATGCCTTGAATGTATGCAGTAAACTTCGATGGGGAAATTAAATCACTGATATAGGATTCATGTGGTGATACTTAAGTATATGTGACTTGAACTCGCTGTTCTTCTAACTACAGTGTTAAAATATAGTGAAGGGATTTATTGATCAAATGCCAGAAGTTTAACATATAGTTTAATGAAATAAGGATAAAGATGATTGTGTTCTCACCCAGACTCTCTTATTCTAGAGAAAAAGAAAAAACCCTTTCCAACTGAACTGTCTAAATTTGACAACATGACCTTTCTCAATATTAGTACCTATGGACCCTTCCTTCTGACTGGCTTCCCTGGCCTGGAGGACTCATATCCAGTGTTCTCCATATTGTTCTGTTTTCTCTATGCCATTGCTCTGATGGGAAACAGCCTCATCTTAGTGGTTATTTGGGTGGAGCCAGCCCTTCACACACCCATGTACCTTTTTCTCTCCATGCTGGCCACCAGTGACCTGGGACTCTGTGCTACCACCTTGCCATCTCTGCTAAAACTTTTTTGGTTCAATGATCGTGAAGTACACTTTGATGCCTGCCTCACTCAGATGTTTTTTATTCATCTTTTCTCCCTAATGGAATCAGGCATCCTGTTCGCCATGGCTTTTGACCGCTATGTGGCCATCTCTAACCCACTAAGGTACACTACTATTTTGACTAATGTGAACATTGCTAAGATAGCTCTGGGTCTTTCACTGCGGGCTGTGTCTGTCACCTGTCCAGGACCACTTCTCATCAGGCGGTTGAGATTTTGTGAGGCCAATGTGCTGTCCCACTCCTACTGTCTACACCCAGACATCATCAAGCTCTCCTGCTCTGACCACCACCTTAGTAGTATTTATGGCCTCATCATTGTTATCATCACCTTTGGAATGGACTCTGCATTCATTCTTCTCTCTTATGTGAAGATACTGATCACTGT